GGCAATTTTCATAAGTTTATTTGGTGAGTTGTGAGCAGGGGCAGATTTACCTATGAGTTAGGTGCAATTTAACTAACTCAAATAAGACACTCGCACGAATAAGAAAAGATGAAAGATGAAATCACTGGTATGATTTTACTTTGATTTGAATTGACACGAGTATTTTTTGATGGGATGTCATGAGTATTTATACTGTTGACAGTTAACAAAAGAAAGACAGGAATTTTTTCACTCTAAATTCATTAATGCAGAACAAGGCTTATATAAGCCAATTACAGAAACTGAAATCAGCACACGTTTTCACTAACAACCGATGCCTAAAAACGTGGCTTAATAAGCTAAACAAATTCAGTTAAACATGCTAACAACCTAGACCAATTCAGCTTCCTAAAATGCAGCTAACAGAAATTGATTATTTCAACATAAAACAAACTGAAATAGCTTAAACTCCAACGGCTAGTGCATGCTTGATCACTTCATTCAACACCTCCCCTTGATCCAAGCTTGCACATGCCTATCTTTTCCATGAAGTGTTGATGCTTGACTTGATTCAGTGCTTTGGTAAACAAATCAGCATTCTGAAAATCAGTTCCACAAAATTTCAAAGCAATCTGTCCTTCAAGTACCAATTTCCTGATGAAATGGTATTGCACATCAATGTGCTTAGTTCTGGCGTGAAATGCAGGATTCTTTGCCATAGCTATAGTAGACTTGTTGTCACACCAGATTTCTAATGCACCCTGTTGCTCACAGCACAGATCCTTTAACAGCTTCTTCAACCATAGCAATTGCTTAGCTGCAGCACCCATAGCTATGTACTCAGCTTCAGAAGATGATAGTGCCACTGTATCTTGCTTCTTTGAACTCCAAGTAATAGCTCCTGATCCTAAGTCAAACATAGATCCTGATGTACTCCTTCTGTCATCAACACAACCAGCCCAATCACTGTCTGTGTAACCTCTCACTTTGAAGTCTTTTACACTTTCATACCAAATACCATAATCCAGAGATCCTGCCACATACTTTAGGATCCTTTTAGCTGCTCCAAGATGCTGCTTTGTGGGACAATTCATATATCTCGACACAACACTGACTGAATAGGTAATGTCAGGTCTAGTGTGTGTGAGATAATTTAGACCTCCCACCATGCTTCTAAAAACTCTCTCATCTGCACTTTCTGTGCCATCAACCTTTTGCAGTTTCTCATTAGCATTCATAGGTGTTTTTGCTTTCTCACAATTCTCCATGTGAAATCTCTTAAGCAGATCATTTGCATACTTTCTCTGACACAAGAAAGTTCCATTCTTTTCTTGCTTTACTTCCAAACCAAGAAAGTATTGCAAGACTCCCAAATCAGACATTTCAAACTCATTCATCATTGAGTCTTTAAATTCTGATAACATGCTATGTGAAGAGCTAAAATATATGATATCATCAACATAAAGGCAAACGATGATGAAATCATTCATACATCTTTTCTTCACATACAATGTAGGCTCATTTTCACTTCTGCTAAAGCCTGTTTTGATGAAGAAATCATCAATTCTGCTGTACCATGCCCTTGGAGCCTGTTTCAGCCCATAAAGAGCTTTTCTCAGTCTGTACACCATTTCTTCTTCACCTTTTCTGATGAATCCCTGAGGTTGCTCAACGAATACCTCCTCCTGCAATTCTCCATTGAGAAATGCAGACTTTACATCAAGTTGGAAGACCTGCAATTCCCACTGAGCAGCTAGAGCAAGAACAATCCTGACTGTCTCAAATCTTGCAACAGGAGAAAAGGTCTCCGCATAATCTATCCCTTCCTGTTGAGCATATCCCTTTGCCACAAGTCGCGCCTTGTGATTTGAGATGCTTCCATCAGAGTTGTACTTAGTTCTGTACACCCATTTTAGACCTATCAAATTCTTATCTTTGGGCAAACTCACTAGCTCCCATGTGTCATTCTTCTGAATGCACCTAATTTCCTCCTCCATTGCATCTTGCCATTCAGGTTGAGTAATGGCTTCATCAAATCCTGCAGGCTCAGTGACTAATAAAGCAAAGTTACAATTTTCATAGATATCAACAAGAGATCTTACACGTAGTGGAGGAGATTCATCTGATGATGAAGAGTGAGATGATGGTGAACTCTGACTACTTGAGGATGTTGATGACACAAGAGGTGTTGTTGGAGGAGTTTGCTGTGTTGGCGCTACAGCAGGTTCATCAAGTTCTCCAAATGTAACTGATTTCTGCATCTCTTCTCTTTTCTGGCTTGATTCACACCAGCTCCAACTTGCATTTTCATCAAAGATCACATTTCTGCTTATGATGATCTTCTTTGTAACTGGATTGTAAAGCCTGCATGCTTTGGACTCCATTGAGTAGCCAATGAATATGCACTTTTCTGCCTTGTCATCAAGCTTAGTTCTTAAATTCACCAGAGTATAAGCTATGCAGCCGAAAATTCTTAAGTGACTTACAGAGGGCTTTTTTAATCTCCATGCTTCAAATGGAGTTAAGTTGATGACAGCTTTTGTAGGAGACATGTTGAGTATATATACTGCTATTGCCACTGCCTCACTCCAGAACTCATTTGGTAAAGATTTGGCCTTTAGCATACATCTTGCCATCTCCACCACAGTCCTGTTCTTTCTCTCTGCTACTCCGTTCTGCTCTGGTGTGTAGGGTGCAGTAAGATCTCTTCTAATGCCATGTTCCTCACAGAAATGCATGAATTCCTGTGACACAAACTCACCACCTCTGTCTGTTCTCAAAGCCTTGACTTGCTTGCCACTTTGTTTCTCCACCAGAGCCTTGAATTTCTTAAAGTTTTCAAAGGACTCTAATTTTGCTTTCTGAAAATACACCCATGACATTCTACTGTAATCATCTGTGATCAACAGAAAATACTTACTTCCTCCCAAAGATTCTGTTTGCATAGGCCCACACAGATCAGCGTGCACCAGTTCCAGACATTCACTAGCTCTCCATGACTTCCCACTTGGAAAAGATTCTCTTGCCTGTTTTCCATACACACAACCTTCACAGATGTCTAGATCACCAATTCTAGGCAATCCATTCACAAATGCTTTAGAACTTAAGAGCTTTAAACCATGAACATTTAGATGTCCATACCTGAGATGCCATAGCTTGGCACTTTCATCACCTTTCACCACAAGTGCTTGGCCTGCACTTCTTGTCAGATCCAATGGAAAGACTTTATTCTTTCCCATTGCAATTTTCATCAATGCCTCATTGCTTTGCTTTTCCTTGATCACACACATGTCATTTTCAAATACAACTTTGTAGCCGCCACAAATTAATTGACCAACACTCAGAAGATTGTGTGCCAGTTTTGGCACATACTGAACATTATGCAGGAGCTTTGATTTGCCTTGATCAGTTGAAAAAACAATTGAGCCAAGCCCTTCAACTGTCAATTGCTTTCCATCTCCAAGCCTGACAACACTTTTCTTGCTGTCATCAAGATTCTGAAACATAGCTCTTGAACTGGTCATGTGGTTGGAACACCCACTGTCCACATACCAGACAGTATCTCCTGCACTATCACAATTATGTTGAGCCAAGAACAAATTCTCTTGCTCAACATAATTTGACTTTTGCTCCTGCTTTCCTTTCTCCTTGTCTTCATCTTTCTTCCAACAAGAGGCCTCCTTATGCCCTGGTTTGTTGCAGTAGTAGCATTTTATAGGCCCCTTGTAATTACTTTTGGAAGACTCCTCTCTTCCATCATTGGATTGGCCTCTTCCTCGGCCTCTCCCTCTGTAGCCTCCTCTTCCTCTTCCTCTTCCTGAGTTCTGATATGATTTCTCCTTGTTTGAAGACTCTCCTTTGACATGGAAGGCTTTCTCCTCTTTCTTGTCATCACCTTTGGAATGTCTCTCTTCATGAGCTTGAAGAGACCCCATCAATTCATCAAAGGTATAAGTTTCCATTTCTTTGGATTCTTCAATTGCTGTCACCACATGATCAAACTTGTTTGTGAGGCTTCTTAGCACCTTCCTCACAACTTGTTGAGATTTGATCTCTTCTCCATATGACCTCATTTGCTGGACAGTGCTTGACACACGTGAGAGATACTCCTGGACAGTCTCCTTTTCTTTCATTTGAGACGTCTCAAACTCTCTTCTAAGAGACTGCAATCTCACTGCAATCACCTTCTTGTCTCCCAAGTATTCTTGTTTGAGAGTGCTCCAAGCTTCTTTTGCTGTAGAAGCTGCTGCAATTCTTGGGAACACTTCATCATCCAGAGATTGCTGAATGATGTAAAGTGCCTTTGCATCCTTCTTTCTCTTGTCTCTCAATTCTTGATCTGGCTCTACTGGTGCATTATCAGTAAAGCCATCTTCAACAATGCTCCATAACTCCTGTGATCTAAAGAGAGTTTTCATCTTTAGACTCCAAAAATGGTAGTTCACTCCTTTGAACATAGGCAACTGGGTAATCGAGTTCCCATTGCCACCAACACCATTGTTGTTGTTTTGCATTGTTTCTCTCTGTGTTTCCCTTGTGTTTAATCCTCACACGAAACACTCAATCAAACCCAAGAATTCTATCTATGGCTCTGATACCAAATGTTGACAGTTAACAAAAGAAAGACAGGAATTTTTTCACTCTAAATTCATTAATGCAGAACAAGGCTTATATAAGCCAATTACAGAAACTGAAATCAGCACACGTTTTCACTAACAACCGATGCCTAAAAACGTGGCTTAATAAGCTAAACAAATTCAGTTAAACATGCTAACAACCTAGACCAATTCAGCTTCCTAAAATGCAGCTAACAGAAATTGATTATTTCAACATAAAACAAACTGAAATAGCTTAAACTCCAACGGCTAGTGCATGCTTGATCACTTCATTCAACATATACTAATCTAAAAATGACTCTAGATCCCAACACATTAAATATAAAAAACTTTTCATATCTAACACATCCTCGAAAGTTTTGACTTGTTTTTTTTTGAAGGACTCACAACACCTCACTCTTACGGTGAATGCCAATATAAACTTTGTATTATTTAATTCAGAAACAGTAAAACTGTCAACATGATATACCAAGACTATTTTCTCGTTACATATATTTTATACGGACACTTCATAAGCAGCAAGAAAAGTTTCAATCACCAAACGCAATAAACACGCGACATCACTCTCTAATTCGTACCCTCAGAGTGCAGACACAGCAACGGGGACCGAGTTATTACTGTGAGGATCCGCGTTCTCACTTGGCTCCCGAGTGAGCCTCTCAACCTCGGACACAAACCTGCCCATGGCGAACCCAGGCAAGCAAACGGGCACCACAATCCCGTCCCTCATCGGTATACAAAAGCTCGCCACCCCCGCGTGTCACGCTGGCACGGTGTGACCGAGGGCTTCGACTTCGCTCTAGCGTTGAGACTTTTCATCCAACGAGTGGACGAGTGTTGACCTCTGTTTAAATCCAACGCCTTGACCGACATGACTGTACGTCAAAAATCGCGTGTAGCGTTGACCTTTTCATGCTGCAACATGTGCCCGGTTTGACGATGGATTTCGAATCCGCCTGCGTACTTTTCATCAACACACTCGTGACAATCGTTGAAACCTTAGACACGCATTGATCCGTTTGACTGAGGTTTCGATCGCTGGCATTGACTTTTCGAGCGCAACCGAGCGTTACCGAAAATAAGTGTGAAAAAAGCGTTGTGATCGTGGTCTCGAATCGCCTGCGTTAAAAAAGCGAACGGCTTGGCCGCGTTGACCTTGTAAAAAGACCGACGGTCAGAATCATTGCGTTGACTTTCATCGGTCACAACGCGTCTACCGGTGTTGACCTCGGAATCCGTTGAACCGGGGTGTTGATCGAGGTTCACAATCGTCTGGCGTTGACTTTTATGCGCATCGACATTACCGTAGATTGGTACTGGTTATCATCAAAAACCACTGGCAGAAAACAGTTGGAAATCGGGACAGGAACGCCCGGGCAACCACTGGTGTCGTTGGCCCTGCCGAACACACCTTGTTCCCTCGTGAAAATTTTTACATTGCAGATGCCATACAATTCAATCGTTACAATGAAAAAAAAAAGACGTCTTTTTTTATCATAACTCATACACAATGAAAAATAAGGAAAAATTAACAATTATCGCTTCAATCAAAGCAAAAACAGACTTAATCCAACCGCTGCAAAAAAAATCCTTGGCACTGTGATCGGACTTCAATATCGTGACCTACAAGATGATCAGATGTACGTGCGAAGCTTTCATTCAAGTCCACAAAGGAATTCAGAAAGTTCGAAGTACAATTATCTCGCAAACAGGAGATTAACTACTGCTTCTCGAGATTACCTGGCAACGGTATCTCAGGAAGAATTGAACTGCAGATCTAACAGAGATTCTTCATTCTTCCATCGCTGAGAACGTCGATACGATCTATAACTCTCCTCTTCTGAATGTTGTGCTCCTTCAGTCTTCAATGCTTGCGGCTTCGCCGTCACCGTTGAAAAGAGTTCTACATTATAGCATCTCGTAGTAATTTCCACGAACATCCGTTGAAAAATAGAGGCCCTAGAGAGCAAGTTTTTGTTTTCGGGCTATATTATGAGGCAGCGGCGGGCGGGCTCTCTTAAAAGTGACAGAACGTCGTTCTTCTCAATAACCACTTAAGCCATAAGTCGCAATCATTGGACCGAAATGCGTTGCAGTTCTAACGGGCGAAACGAAGCTTTCAAAAAACAACCTAAACACCTTAAAATAACAATATTTGCGGCGGTGTGAGCACCGCCCTGCAGGCTCGTGATGCCGAACACTATACGGGTGAACTCGATCTTTGCTGAGACAAACACTCAAGAGTCTCGCCAAAGCGAGCCAACAGAAACACCTACGCGGGAAGTCTGTTATGGCCTAGAATCTAATATGATGTGCCTCTTAAATCCGTTTCCAACCGTATTTTCGTCGCTCACTGATCAGACTCGGAAATCATCCTGATTTTCACAAAATAAGCGTTGGAAAACCGACGACGAGATCATTACAAGAGCTCCCATGATTTTGAATCATATATGTAGGAATGAATGGATAAGAGGGGCTCGACTTCTCGTACGAGTAGATGCGGGAGTCTGACCAGGATCAGTCTGTATTCCATTATTCCGATATTTCCGTTGTTTGTATGGATTTCGTACCTAAACTTTGCATCTGTCGCGTCATCGAATTTTGACTATACTGTGGACCGAATAGCACGTTCATAGGTATCTCCTCTTGTCTCGACCGTGTTGTGAGATTTATCGATCAATTGTTAATGCCTAGCATGATACCGCCCTCCAGTGTTAACAGTCTCATTTCTCTTTTATAAAGGAGATTGAAATACTATTTTGCGGAGTATCGACGATTGGTTCCAACTCAGTCAGTGTAAAGACCTGTATTTCGCTTGATTCTTAACACGCTCCGATTTTTTGGTCTTTTCGGTATTTGATGAAATAACGAAACTATTCGCTGCACTGCGCTTATCGGTCTGCTTCCGTTGAAGTCTTAGAATTCACGAGAACTCGTGATTCCGATTTTCCTGTATCCTTTTAGTTGACTTTGAACTGACTACCTCTCCAGATCAGACCGCTCTGGTTCACGTCGACTTTCATCGCAACGCGTCGACTGCATTGCGTAGCGCCATTGCGAAAGCGCACTGCACACGCATAAGCAGCTGACAGTTGCACGACAATAGCAGCCTGTCTGTGCATTGCGTATACCTGACGTGCACATAATATCAGTCCGACAGACGCGGTTGACCAGCTGTTGGACCTCGGGATCGCCCACGACGCCTTTTCCCTGAATCGCAAACAGGACCCTCCCGTACGGCGCCTTCCCCCACCACCGAAGTCCACCCTCTCCCTGATATTACCACGCTCGTGTCACAGAAAGGTCCGACAGACCAGGTACGAACTGCCAACACCAGTGTTCACACTAAGCGTGCCGGCCCCTGATCACCAATGGTGGCCCGCCCCTAGAAGATCTCATTTACCTTCCCTCCTCACGTCCGATTGGCCTTCTGACGAGCCCCAGAAGCGTACCGAGCGGGTTTTTCATTCCAGTTTGTTTCTGCGCCCTGATACGGCTACCTCGGGTAGGAACCGCCGAACACGCGGTTCCTAAATCGTAGTAACCCCTCGGCAGCGGGGGGTTGAACTTGCCCGCGCGTTTACGATGCAGATGATGTGGGGACCTCCTCGTCGGGGTCGGGACGAGAGGGCGAGGGTTCGCATTTCCAGAGGCAGCCGCGGTGAGGAGCTCGAAGGTGGAGGCCGACGAGCCGAAGGTTGGGCTGAGTGTGAGAGCGATATAGGGACTTTTGAGGAGGGAGAGAATCTCTGTCGGGGCCAGGAAGAAGAATGGAACGGTGGACCCATGTCGTCTGAGGGAAATGATGGTCCGCCAACTTTCGTGTCGGGGAAGTCGTCGATACTCCGCGGTGTGACGCTATTTCGGTGTTCGGGGGACTGTGGTGCGTTCGAGAGGTGCGGTCCATATTTCGAGGGTGCGTGACGGTTCGAGTAGACAGGAAGGCCCGGGCGCGAAAGCTCGGCGACGCGGTCATGATTGCGACAAGGCCGGGGGCGTCGGCATGGTGTGGTTGAGGCGGTAGGCGAAGACGAGCCGCCGCCAGCCTGAGTCGGGTCACTGAAGCAGGAGCAGGCCGGGCAGTCGAGGACAACCACCAGACAAATCCCCTTCGAACATCAGAACCAAGACCCAGCTCACTCAGAGGACCAAGAGCTGAAACGGCGGCTGCAGCTCGTCCGACCCCGAAACTCCTCAGTCCCCGCCCGGGCTTCGGCGTCGCGGCCTCGACGAACATCACCGACTCAGTTCCCCTCGCGCCGTGCACTCCACCAAACATCAGCGTATGGCCGGCCGGGCCTATCGCGTCTCGAGTGGTGCGTCTACTCCCGTCAACAAGGTAGTACGTGGACAGACCGATACTGGCCTTCGACATGGCGCCTCCTTATCACCCCGGCGGGTACCGTCCCTCCAAAGCCGACCGACAGTTCATTGATTGTTTCGGTAGAGATGGATGACCGGGATTTGGAACGCGGAGTCCTCTTGTTCGTCGATGTCGCGAGAGTTTCTTGAATCGTAAGGCGTCCGCGAGGCCGGAGCGACGCAGCCTACCAGGCGCCTGGTCTAACGACGGGTGAACACATCAAAGAGACCCTGCCATTTCAGAAGTTGATTGTGTTGTATATTGTGTTAGGGGAGAGGTCATGAAGGCCGCACGGATTTATAGAGGGAGGGCGTAGGGGCCCAAACGGAAAAGTATTTGGAGCTGAATTTCGTGTGAAATTGAGCGAGCAATTGCTAGCTTAACTAGTGAACTTCTTGGTAGTTTAATTTGTGATTAAAGTTTGATCTAGTTTGGGTCTTTCGTATTCAGACTTGATGCTCGCTTGACTTGGAATTTATAAGTAATTTTTTCTAGTATTGAATTCTTTTTTTTCTTGGGTTGACGACTTTCATACTCTATTCCTGGTCACGAGATTCTAACGGCCATAAGATTCTTCCTAGACTCACGCTTTTTTTTTAAGAGACAAGTGTAACATGTACCCTAATTTGTGTTAATTTGTATTGGCGTTACTCTGTGAAATAACGGATGAAATTGCTTGCCAAATTAATGAGCGCGGGTTCAGTCAGGGTCAATCATGGACTGGGAGTTTGAAGTAATCTAAATAGAAAATGAATGATCTATAGAAAATAATCTTAAAGTCGATTTTTCTAACGGATGCTCATGATCAGCACTTGTTAGGGGATAAGAAATAGAGACAAACTAATAGCAAGTGGATCCCTCCTGATTTACACCAATTTCTCTAATCGTCTCTTCTCTCTCCATCTCTCATCTCCAAATGAGTACCCATGGGCACCCGTTAGAAAAATCCTTTTTCATTTACTATTTTATGAGACCGAATCTTAATTAACGCATCTCTATTGTAAGGTTCAATAAATTTGAGTCAAGTGGAACTCTCTTGCTTTATACTAATTTCTCTCAACGCCTTTCCTCTCTCTATCTCTCACCTCCTATCTCTCATCTCCAAATGAGTATCCGTGAGCACCCGTTAGAAAAATCATTTTTTATTTACCATTTTATGAGACAGAATCTTAATGCATCTCTATTGTAAGGTTCACTCAAACGGAGTCAAGTTACAGTTATTTGTTTCTTTGCAACTTACAGATGCAATTATATATGATCGCACTTTAGAAAAATCATCGAGTCACAGCAAGGTGACCTATATATGTAACTATGTAAACTACAAATATCGCTATTGGTTATAAAAGTTTAGAACTGAACCAAACATCTGCAATGCATACAACTTCATGCTACACGCAAAAGGTGTCTCTTGTCTCATAAATGCCTCAAGCCAATGAACTCTTTCCCACCGTCTTGTCAAAGTAGATTCATGACTTGTAGCGACCCTTGTGTTTACACACGCATCCAATCAAACAAACTGTGTTTCACATTAAACGTGATTCACCTTTTTTTTTTAAAACCTCATATTCAAATTCGAAAAATTGTGTTCAGCCCCAAAACTGAAACTCTCATGTGACTTAGCCATCTTAACTTTGGGCAATGTGGTTACGCGCCTTGACTCAACTTCTTATATGAAAAAGTCCTCCTCAACTGTTATTTGTCTCTCATCCCTAAAATAATTATTATTATCTTCTTCCCCTCTTGTACTCTGCCAGCCCGCCCCCCCCCCCCCACCAAAACTCCTTCTCCACTTTTTCTCTGTCTCACATCCACCCTCATCCACCCCCTTCACCTCCCCTCCTTCCTCCTCTCTCCAACTCGGTCTATTCGCATCTTGCTGGGACCTTTCGCTTTTAATCTAAGTTCGTTGTCCTCTCTCGTCTCTCCTCCATCTAAATTAATGTCATCCTCGTCCGCTCCATCCTCTGCCCCGTCTTCCACATCTGCCTCACTCTTTCCCTTCTCCTGTCTCCATCATCTCTCCGCTTTCCTCCTATCCCTCTCCCGCGCACTCTTCTATTCCACTCTCCTCTCTCCTCTGTCATCTTCATCTCTATCTTATTCTTGTCCTTCCACAACCGCCACCGCATCAATTAAAGACAGACTTTTTTTTTGCTAAAAACGGTTGTCTCCAAATAAAAAAACTTTGTGAGGTCTAAAGTTAACATGTGATATTAAAAGTTAACATTTAAGCATTATAGTTATCATCTAACAATTAAAATAAATATATGAGGTCTAAAAGTAACATGTGAGGTTTAAAGTTAACATGTGAGATCAAAAGTTAACATCTAACTTTGGAGATTAATATAAAAACTTTAAAGTTGTTAGATGTTAACTTTATCACTTGTTAACTTTAATTATATGATGTTAACTTTGATGTCTCATGTTAAATTAGACCTTAAATGTCAACTTTAATTATTAAATGCTAATTGTAAAGTTTAAGTATTACCTTTAACTGTTAAGTGTTAACTTCGGCGTGGCTTTAGGATATGGTCATCCTAGCCAAAAGAAACTGTCTTTAAACGATCCTGCAATGGTTGTGGGAGAAGGAAGAGGAGATATGATCGAGGAAAGAATAAAAATGACAAAGGAGATATTGTGGTGATAAAAAGGATATAGTCGAGAAAGAATAAAAAGAAAGAGAAGGAGAATGCAATATCAAAGGTGGTGGTGAAAGAGATAATGGTTGAGGAGAAGAAGAAGAAATTATTCATGGGGTCCATGAGATAAAAAAAAAGAGAGATGAGAGGTTGAGGGCGAGAGTAGTTTGGGGATAAAAAGAAATCTTCTCTCTCTACTAAGGTCGTAACTAAAATGAAGCTTTTCACATGAGAAGTTCGGTCAAGGAGTCTAAGCACATGGCCCAAAGTCTAGAGGATTGGGTCACATGAGAGTTCTAATTTTTGGGCCAAGACACAAATTTTCCTTTTAAATTTCATCCATTGACGAAAGAGCTATCATAAGCCATGAATCCATCTGCTCCACAATATGATATCCGTATATCTAAGAGGAACTATCCCACAGTAATACAATTTTATAATTGCACATGTGAATTTTCTTATTCTTCCTCTCTTTTGTGGAGTAGAGATGAGTGCGCGAGTCTTGGTTAAAAAAAAGCCCAACAAGAGATGAGGCTAACACTTGTAGACGGTCAAATTGTATTTTCACTAAGGATCCAAGAAGTGAATGCCCATGGGTTAAACACTTCGAATGGGCTCGAAGTCAAGTCTACAACAAGCTGCAGCGAAGGTTACCTGATGATTGAAGCGAACCTCGTCAAGAAACTCATATCAACTCAACTCGACCAAGTCAGACACGAGTCAACCCCCGCAATACGCTTTAGATCAAGTTGAATGGCATCATCAGTTGGCCAAGCCTAGAGTCGAATTCTAAGCTAAATTCGAACTCGCAGGTGAAGTTTGCCAACTAACGAACTTCGTCCACATGGACCAAGTCATACACTTCCTAAGAAGGCACGCTCACGTCCGAAGCAACCTTCACCCACATCTTCAGTGAACTTTGCCAAGTCCGTGAAGTTCGCCCAAATAGCCCTTTCAGAGTTATTTTTAGGGGATAACCGCTTCCTATTAACTCCTACTTTAATGGCCAATTAATCCATATTTAAGGGGACCATTAACTCTCTCTTTTAGCCTATAAAATAAGAGGAGATCATCCATTTTGGACAGAGACGCACACACGAAGAGAGACGCACACATGTGGACAGAGACACACACGCGGAGAGAGATGCACACATGTAGAGAGAGAAACACACGCGCAGAGGCATACGAGAGTTATTGCTAAGAGAAGACTGAGCTAACTTCCAAGCAATTTAATCCTCATTAATAGTAAAGAACTCATCATCTTAGTCAGCGAGTCAACGGAGTACAAGATCGATGCTTTACCAGCACATAGAAAAGGACCCTAGAATTTTCTTTGTTTCATTAAATTTCTTTCTATTATAATCTGTGTCAATTACAATACAAAAGAACTTGAAACAGGATAGCGACTCTGTTGGGGACATCCTTCTCCTCCAAAGAGAAGATTGTGTCGCACGCCGACTCTAAGATCCTTAGGTCTTTTGCTGAAACACAGGTCATTAAATTTGATCAAGTGAAGTTCAATAAATCAATTTCCAAGAACACAATGTCTGTGATGACAACTGTATGTAGTTGTTATAAAATTCACCACAGTACGAATCTTAGGCCTAAAATGACCCCCGTGTGTGAAAAGGCCACGTTCGCCAAAGATAGTTTGGGGTTTACTAGAAGCCAAATGAACTTCGCCAAGAACGAAGGGATTTCGACTCTCACATCGAGCGAAGATCAAGATGTTATCACATCTGATCTCGGGTTTCAGTCCTCGACTCCTTTAGGAGTTCGATTTAAAGCGTCCCGCGACGTTCGCTATGCTTCCTGATAGAAGCAAAGAATGTGGGTTATTCCTCATCCAAATTTTCCTCAAAAGAATAACATCATCATCGGTGATTTCGTTGGACAAATTTCTAGTCATCGTCACTATAAGCGACATTCACATTCCAAGGCCAAAACCAACGATGTTGGCACCAATACTGTCCTGAGAGAATTCATAACTCTGAAAAGTGCTCGTCAGTGTCAGTATTGTGCGACCCTCAGAGAAGTGATCTCGACAGTTCAAAAGAGTTACAAATGCAAAGAAACAGTCTTCAACCGTCTTAGTCATGTTCCTAAGCTTTCAGAGGTTCAGACTAAACGATGACGATGCACTCGAAGGAGCAAAACACAATTGTTCACCGTCACCATGACAAGTGTGGCTTATGGAGACAACGAGGAAAGTACAAATAGCTTGCCTGATCTAGTATACTCTTCTGGCATTGGATCCATTCTACTAGAAGCGAAAGGAGTATATCGTAACACCAGGTGTAGGTTGTCAAAAAAATCACAACAGACAGTTTATCCCCATCAAACATCAACAAGGAAAGTTACAATTCAACGACTTCCAGAAGGCTATAATTTGAAGACTTTCACGTAGATCAATGAATGTTACAAATTGACGACCTTCATGATAACCGATGAAAGCTCTGATCAATGGTCTTCACACCTAATAATAAGAGTTGCAATCTGACGACTATCATATTTTCAAGGAGCCAAGATGAAGATTACAAGATAACGATCTTTGCAAATGCTTAAAAGAGACTACAAATTGACGGTCTCTTCAAATCAGAACACGGAGGTCCTCCCTGCGTTCCTAGACAAAAATACAGAGGTCCTCCTTGTGTTCCAAGACCAAAACACAAAGGTCCTCTCGGTGTTCCAACCTCAAAACGTAAGAGTCAGACCCGCGTCCCAAGCTACAAACACAGAGCTCGTGGTCGCATTCTCAGCTCGAAACGCAAAGCTTGTGACTGCGTTCCAAAGTCAAAGTAACGCAACTTGTGCGTCTTCAGCTTCCAAACGCAGCACAAACTCAACTGCTAACACAGCTTGCAAACTCTGCGTTCGAATGTAGAGTTCACGCCCATAAGCAAATTGCAACGCGGCCTCTGCATTCTCAGTTCCAAGTACGGGACAACCTTTTCGTTCTCAGCCGCCAACAGGCATCCCAACCCTACGTCCCAGGCTCAGGACGCAAAATTCATGTTCGAAATGATAGTTTTGGCGTTTGACTCGCTCAAACATGAGCTGAACGGTTCCAAAACCGTTTCCATGATTTGAGAGGATTACTCCCCCACTTAGGAGTGAATTAAGGGGGCGGTTACACCCCTTAACCCCCTATAAATCTCAGCAAACTCGACTGAGTTAAGAACTGGCTTTTGGAATTAAAAAAAAGATCTGGCAGTGGATCATCTGCAAATCTTTGGGCATTTGGAGATCTAGGGATCGGCCTTTTGCATTAAAACTGCACAAAAGAGAAGTCGACATTCTTCGACCAAGAGCATCCTCGGCAACAGAGAATTCTTGGAGCTTTTATCCTTGGCTTATTAACCGATTTTTGGTTCAAATCAACTCTTTTTCAAGAGTTTAAACTCACTTTGAGTTATCAACTCGTTCAGAGTTTTAAACTTACCACGCAAGTTCTTATTAACATCAATCAAGAGGAATCAACTATGTTCTAGTGAAATAAGATGTTCGGATCATCAACGAGAAGCAAACTCGACGCGAGTATTCGAGGGAGACATCTCATCGCTACCATGAAGAATCAGACTTAAACGAAGGGGAGGATCTCCGTCGATCTTCTTCTCTTTTGTAAATCGGGATTCTAATTAAGAAGAGTGTAATTTCTTTTTTCTAAATCAGTTAGAGAGAAATTATATTGAGAGAATTGTATTCATTCTTTGTCTAATCCAGTTAGTCAGATAATACAATAAATCATATTGTTAATTATCTTCTTCAATTTTCCCACCAAACAAAAGATGACGATTCCGCTGGGACTAGCTTCACTGATGAAGAAGTGATGGTGCAATCTGACGTCAACCTCGCTGGAATGATCGTTGAAACTTTGATCATCAATTTTGATCAAGCCAAGTATGAGGAGGTACTCTCCTCCGGATCCCTTAGCCCCAAGGCTATGCGTAAGATCCGCAAAGTCTCTAAGGAGACTAAAGCTCCAGTTGTGGCCAACTAGTCAAAGAACTATCTCCCCTGGGGTTGCACTGTTCATACAGTCCCCTCGGAGAAGACTTAGCTTTAGCCAAACTCGTCCACCGAGTTAAAGGTTATGTACCCACGCCAAAGCAATGGGTATCGGGACACAAAAGGCCCATCACGGCGACCAACTCTGTCAACACCAATGACATCGCTGCAAAGGCCTTAAAATAGACCAACAAGAATGCCGCTCGATGAAGGAGAAGATCTCGATGATGAGCACAACTCCAAGAAAGCCGATCTCTCAACCAACGCGAGCTTCGCGTTTGTGAGCTAAAACGCAACTCTGAGCTCTGCGTTTCTACTATGAAATGTGTGGCATACGTTCATGAGCCCAAGCAAGAGCTTCACATAAACCAAATTAAACGCAGCTCTCAAGAGCACGTTATTCAAACAAAACGCAGCTCTCAGGAGTGCGTTATTCAAGCAGAACGCAACACTTAGGGGCGTGTTATTCAGCCAAAACGTAG